CAAATGAATATAGACACTTTTTTGTTGTTTGCCAATCACAAGCGTAAATTTACACGCACTCATTGCTTATTCATGCGACGATGTCGCCGAAAGTTCAACGAAAAGACAATTGACGTGAATTTTGAATAAATCCAGCATTAGCGCCGCGGTTAGCGAACCAAACAGAAACCTCAAATCCTGATGGATGTGATTCATATTTGGCCAGGGAGAGCGGGGTATAGTAATCGGTTGCGTTGATCACACAGTGCTCAACATAAATGACTGGGATCGTTTGAATGCCATTAAATCGCATCGGGAATGAATGCAACACGAAAAACAAACTATTCGGAATTGATGGTTGACTATTGAACAGTGATTTTCTCTCTCATGCGGAATGATTAAAGTCAAACGAACACACAAATCTAACGAAATCGAATTTCGAGCTTAAAAATCAAATAAAAACTTTGTCTAAGTACGCTGCCGAACGAAGCAAAAACGGGGTCGTAAAATCGAATGTATGTTGACAAAAATTGCAATTTGCGATTGCACGACGATGATATTTGACTGTGGAACGCTGACAATCTTTTATTCAAATACGAAACCAATCAAATGATGTTTAACTATCGATGTGATGCGATGCGATGCGATGCGCTGACGCAATGTAAACGATGACAATTTTGCCATTTGTCGCATTACAAACGAAAGTGAATTTGGCGAAATAAAATATTTTTGAACTCGACGAGAGAGCTCACACACGGCACTCCACCATCATTTCCATTAGCATACGAACTATTAATAATAACATTATTACCGTATGGCAATAATCACGTCTTCAAATCAATAATGTCTTCTTTTTATGGATTAAAACCAATATCGAGAGCGATTGATGAAACTTTTTATTGGTGCCGCTGCTACGCCATCATCCTCAAAATACAATTGTAGTTGGGTATGGAAGCGAGACATCTCGAATGGTTTGCATGCGAAATTTCTTATGCACTAATGCACAAGGTAAATGGGTATTTGCATCTTGAAATTGGGGATTTCGTTGTTTTGATAGTTTTCCCACTCGACAAAGTGTACTTGTCTGCTACAACTTGTTACTTGATAGTTTGGAAACTTGAAACTTTGAGGAATTAAATTGAAAACTTACATCGAAATCAGCGCAGAACCAAAACAGACAGAAGAAATATATGGGAAACACATCTTCTTCTTCGCATCTCAAACAAATTCAATAAACTTAAGTTTCAGCTACTATTCGGAAGAAAATGTACAGTGGAAAAAAGTTCTGAGTGAAAGATTCAATTTCAATAAATGTACACTGAGGTTTGAAATATATGCAGAACAAGAGGGACCGGTATGAGTTTTTTACTAGGTGCTCAATGACGCCATCGAAAAAATGTATAGAAAATAAAGTGCTTTCTGCATCGCGTTTTTTGTTTCAATTTTCATTTCGTCGATCCATTATGGCACGAAAATTAATAAATTGGCTTCGATTAAGCGGGGCTTCGTTTGGCGAACGAACAGCAAATTGTGGATATTTTTCTCCGCGGGCAAGTCCGTTGAATTAATCTCCTTCGCGATAGATATCAAAGACGACTTTCGATTTTAGTTGGAAGTGAAAGAAAAAACCGTGATCGCAAACACTGCATCAGTGCAAGCACATCGACTTATTCCAATTTGAAATGACAAGATATCAAATATAATTAATGAGATTTTTTTTCCAAGACATTTTTCACTCTCACGTTGATAGAATACCCACATATTTTGCAAATCGAAGCAATTAAATCTGACAAAATGCAATTTATTTGCTTCATTAGGGTTCCATCTTTAATCGTTTTTCATGTGAGGGACAAAAAGACAAACGAAAAAGTTTGTCAATGTAGGAAAAACAGCTCATTACAGTCGGAAACGTTTTCGGAAACATGCTCGGGGACACCAATTTTCCACGAGACTTTTTTAATCTGTCGGTAGTATGTTCGTGATATGTGAGAATTTATACGAATGACCTTGGTGCCTGATGAACTGTTCTCTCCTCTCTACATCCACTGTCACATCTGTTGACATGCAGATAAATTTACCGAACACACAAACAAGCTACGCAATCGGATTGTAAGCAAGCGAACCACCAAACGAACACTCGAGCTCGCTCGTTTTTATTAGCAGTGAAAGTGCTTTTTAGAAGTTACAAGAGAAAGAAAATCATTTCTTTGTTTGTAATTCCCATTTAACGCTCATTTCACTTTTATCACTATGCGAACGGATCCGCTGGCAGACACACGAAGTACAACATGCCGTTCAGTTCATCTGTAAAAGTACTCGCAGACATTCATAATCGGTTTAATTGGTTATTTTAGCAAAATTTAATTGAAAGTTCATTGCTACTGATCCCGAAACATAGATAAGAGCCGCGTGCGACAACCACACTCCAACCCTTTCTCCTACTTCGCCACACGGAGGCTTCAGATATTATATGTTATGTGTTTTGCATTAAAAGCTTTCCTTTTAAATGGGTTGCATACCCAAATTGATTTTAACATTCTCTTTCTCTCTCCTTCTCCCGCTTTTCTCGTCCTTTCTGTCTGTCTCCATGTGGTAATGAAGTGTGCAATGGTTCGTAAACTTTGAATAGCTTTTACCGAATAAATGTCGGTTCCGTTGCACTTTTTGCTCAATGCTCATCGTCTGCATTGTTCCAGTCATTCCAAATCAATTGGATTAAATTATGCTGGCAAAACGAAATTGAAAATATTTGGTTATTTATGAGTATTTTGCATTTAACAACCATTTTACTGACAGTGATTGCTTCTCTCCCTCTCCCCCATTATTGGCTGTTGTGCGTGTCTAAATATAGAACCATCTTCACCTAGTGAAAGTTAGTGTTATTTTTTCATGAACGAGACAGTTTTTGGCTATACTACATTTTACTGCGGTTCAAATGTACGACGCACAACTATTTGTAACCGATGCTTAAGCACGCATATTTACACCCATAAAACACAGTTTTCATGATGCACACCACAATCCATTGATTTTTTTATCTCTCTCTCTCTCCCTCTCGATTCGGTATGACAGCACTTCGATGCCTCAACTCAGTTTACGGGCTTGAGTTTAATTGAGAAATTCACCTTTTTATATTCCTTTTCGTATTTTGTTGTACTAGTTTCCTACAACAGTATTTACCATGAGCTAATATTTCCGCTATCTAATAGACGGTGTCTATGGACTCGATGCTTTCAGTTTAACCAAACATGAACGGAGCATCCAAAATATTGAAGCAAGCGAATTTTCGAGAAAACGAAAATGAACTCTCAAGAACTCATCAACTACATAACTCGAGTCTATGGACTTGGTTGTTTTCTTTCTCTTGTTGTTCATGAAAAGTTTCCTAGAATTCATCGGAATTATGCTGATTTTCCTGTAAAATTCAGAGTTTTCAATCAAATTAAGCATCAGCATTGTAAATGTTTGGCAATGAATATTCCGGCGTATACAATACACAATGAATATGCTTTTATGGATTTGAAAAACACGGCTAAGGACTGTGTATGTGATGAAGATGACAACTGTGGGAAAATGCCAAGCTGAACCAAGAGCGGGAGAGAGAAGAGGTGGAAAAAAATTTGTTCCAAGTTTTCATCGCTCGGGAGTGCGATTGAAATTAATGTGTTCCACCTCTCTGCATCAAAAGAGGGATTGGTTTGAGTCGATAACTTTGCCGTTTCGCAGTGCTTGACCTTTTTTTCTGACTTGTTATTGAATAATGAACATGTTGTGGTCGAAATTGATGGTTTATGTGTGGCCAACCTGACCAACACATGTTGATCGATGGCAATACAGTTTCCCGTTACCATAACAATAATTTCGTATCAATTTTTCATGGGAACACAATGAAATTTTTCTCCATGATTCGTTCTACGCGAGATTTAACCTGATTTTTCTTCCGTCTCGCTCTCTCTTCACTAGTGACTGTGCGGAAAAAAGTGCTGGCTCGAACTTTGAACCGAGCGAATCCATCTATCACAATCAAATCAATAGAGTTTAACACATTAGCATCGTGCAGCACCAGCATACATGATCCAAGGATTCCTTTTTTTTATATTTTGTTGTGAAAATAACACATGTTCCGTATTGTTTCCGGGACGATATAAAGCTACCATAATCTACTTATTGTTTTTTACATCGATTGGATCGAGTCAGGAGTAGGATTTTTTTTTCTCTTCCACGCATTATTGCATGCGGTTTCCCATTCATGTTAACCGTTGCAAAGCAATAACAACAACAACAACAAAAACTAATACCCATTGTAGTCGCAGCTTGATACTAAACCGTTGTGTATTTGCATCAAAGAATTCAATGAATATATGAACAACAGCAATAGCAATCGGGAAAAAATGTCCCACGCAAATATGAGTATTCAGGATAATTCATGTGCACACTGTATGACATAATAAACGCTTTTGATTTGTGAATTGAAGGCCGTTGAAAAGTGTATCTACTTTTTTTTACGTCATATATGTTCACATGTGGATGGTGGACACTGGACACTTAACGCTGGACATAACTTTGTCGCACATATCGGCCGTAACTTTTGTTTGAATTTAAAATTGAAATTTTCAAAGGGACGACACGTTTTGACGAAGTCTACGGCGAACTCATGAACTATCGAAAAGTCAATACAAAATGATACGAGAGTTCGTGGCGCTGCGAGCGCTCAAATGATGTTTGTACTGAAGTGTCGTCAGCTTGGAAATTTTCGCAATTTTAAATAAAAATTCCATTTTCATTTTTATCTAGGCTCCTCTCCAGTGGCTCCAACCAAACAATTTCATCGTAAAATGAACCATTAAACTCAATTTTTATTTTCTGCATAATAAAATTTTATCGTTATGACAATACACATCTAGTACTAGTAGATACACATAGAATAGAAAGAGCATGAGAGGGAGAGGGGGAGATGGAGAGAGAAATATATATGCACAAGCACTAACCAATTCATTTTGATTTCTATGATATCGTTACAGGTTCGCAATGCAACTGCTGTGTTCATCATAAATCTCTCGTTATCAGATTTACTGTTCTGCTGCTTTAATTTGCCACTGGCAGCCAGCACATTTTGGAATCGAGCTTGGACGCACGGCGCACTATTATGCCGCATTTATCCACTTTTTCGATATGGTTTATTAGCCGTTTCATTATTTACAGTATTGGCAATTACTATTAACCGATATGTGATGATTGGCCATCCGCGCATTTATCCAAGGTTAGTGTGTATATCATATTTGATGCGTATGTGCGACTTATAATGTATGCTGAGAATAGAAAGGGATCGCATTTCAATTTGTCTGCACGACTATACGTTCGCTCGCCGAAAATCTTTTTGCTACGGATGAACGTGCAGTGCGGTGTGTCTCACGTTATTTCCCTCATGTATTTCCTCCTTATCAGTCACACGGGAGCACCCGCACCAGTGAAACCAAAGAAAATATTATCATAAGCATGAAGATGTGTTTCGCTACTATTCCAGTCGTAAAAATGAACGACAAATATGATTTCTTCTCGGAAACTTTCGCAATTTGAATATTTATTAGATTTCAGATATTCATTTCGCCGAGAAAAGCTATATACAAACCGTACTGTCTGTATTACATGTTGCATTCGCACCATTCGTCGATGAAAATCACACACACAGACAGATCCAAATAATTAGCCAATTTTAATTCGCATTTCACTTTGGGCTTTTTCTTCATCTCATTCCCGTTCGCTCATTGTATACTGAATATTTATGAGGACATGATTGTTGGTTGTTCTATCTCTGTTCCATACGAAATGATTCGGTTGATGATTGCCAAATGTTACATGCGCGCATCTTTTAATTAGCAGAAAGCATATCTGAATGTATCTCTGAATTCACACTTTCTGTGAAGAAAAAAACGACTTAAAAGCTCACACAATGGAAATTCCATGAATGTTCATCGTTAGGAAAAGTCATGAGTCCATGGAAAAGTTACGAAAAATGGAACACAACAGAAAAAACAGCCAACTCAACCGAAGTCAGAGAGAGGAAAAAAAATACGGTATGGCTTTGTAGTCAAAAATCGATTCGTTAGCCGTTAGCTCTGCGATTGAAAAGTTGTAGCAGCTCGAAAAGGGCAAAAAATCATTCGAACAACTTTCTGCTTGAAGAATGGGTCTGAATTGGCGATTGATGTAGACCACAATCAGTTTATTAATCACTGTGTGTCGCTTAGGTCAAATATAAAATGGACCACTTCAATTCAGTTATGGCTTTTGTTCGAGCACAAGCATCGAAACGAAGCGCGTCAGATGTGGAAAAGCAAGATGCCAATACCCTACCATTACGCACTGTTCGAGTCCCCTTCCATTCTGCCACTGCGATATAACACTGGCTTTAAGTATAATAAATAAACAGAGCATCGATGCCGGCGAGATACAATTATATAGCGGAAACGCACACACACACACATACGCGCACAATATTCAATCGTCTCGTGAATTGACTTTCACAAACGAAAAATACAATATTTCCAAATGTCTTGTACATTCTACGAATAATATATTGAAAATCGATAGATAAAACTTGGTATGTTCTCTGTCTCACTCCCTCTCTCTCTCACACTCACTCTCATTCGAAAGACGTGGATATGTGCACGAATAAATTATAATCATTGCGTTCGTAACGCTCGCCATTTTATCGATAGCGGCATTCGGGCAAATACTTCATCCCCAACGACATACACACATGGGACTTGCACACACCAAAAACTCAACGCAAAAATGTCGGAGCAAACACGAAAAATGAGAGAAAAATTAGAGAGAACGAGGAAAAAATACAGCGACCATCAAAATAGCAATCTTTTTATGAAGTAAACATTGCTTGTGAGAGAGAGAGAGAGAGAGAGAGAGAGAGAGAGAGAGATTCGGTACCGGAACGTCATATTTCTCGCACGCAGACATTTTCAGCGATAATCGAAATATTGGAAAAGTTTTTTTTCCTGCACTCCTTTATCTCAACATCGTTGGACCAACAGAATGCAAAATGTTGTTCAATTTATTTTTTCGCCGTAACTCGCAGGGTGTTGTCGCTGTTGCTGTTTACCCCACTTTTAGCTAAAGTGTAAACGGCTTTTTTTTCCATTCGAAGAATCAGAGAAGGAAAAAAGTCGTAAACAAATTTGTGCAATGTAAAATGAATTTTCGAGTCAATTATTCATGAAAAATTGGTGACCTATGAAACAGCTATCCGAAATGCGATAACAACGATTATGCTAAATTTTTAATGCGAGAAAGCAATATAAAATTGAATAATTAATTGGTGCATTAAGAGAGCGAATAAAAATGGGAAAATTTCATAAATCATCGACCTCTCATGCTCAGTGTTTAATGCTGATTTATTTTTCAGTGAGAGCACGAGATATCGATGCTAGAACGAGAACGCGTGTGTGTTTGTTACTATGCAATGAAAATTTTATTCATTTTCAGAGGCTTGTGGCCGTTGACATACACTGCATTCAAAAAGTCCTGAAGGTGGAAAAAAAGTAGTTGACTGCATTATTCAGATTAATCGAGTGCATTAGGGATTATTCGGTTGTCGCGATACCATCGAAACGATATCAATGCGATTATATTGCCGAATAAACTGGAGACATTTTTTATCACGATTTTCAGCATTTGCCACTTTTATTATGATGATTCGATGCAATGAAATTCCCTTAGAATATGTTTCAGAATGACAGTGTGTGTTATCTAAAACTTGTGTTCGTAAAAGTAATGAGTTCGTTTAAGCATTTTTTGAGTGTTAGAACATAGTATATGAACACAAACTTTACGATCCATGGCACGTAAGTGGCAGTGAAACCATACAGCAATGTTTGCTGTCACCATCGCTGGTTTGTAATGCATCCTATATAATATGCTATGTGTTCGCTTCAAGTAATGACGAAAAATCCATCTTTTTAAATCCAGGATCAACTTAATGGAAAACTAATAAAATATTTTCCTCGTTTGCCAGCAATTTAAAGTAAATTTCATTTATTTGAACGACAAATTTTCGTGCAGACAGAAAATCACAAATGACTGCAGGTCGGTCGCATCGAAGCAAAAAGTTTTGTTTATTTAACAAATGGGCACCGTACACACACACACTCACTACCCTTCTCTCTCGCGCCCAATAACTCACTCTCCTTCGGCTATTATTCCATTTAGAGCTTAAAATGAAGACAGATTCACAACGAAACAGGGAATTTCGTTCATAATAATAAATCACATTCAGATTCAGAAAGAATAACTTCGAGCAGAGATGACGTCAATGCATTTTCATAAAATAAATGAACCTGAATCAACCTCAATCAATTGCAAAGATGAAAGTCAGATGTAACTTCTTCCATTGCAATCAATTTTTAAATGGAATTTTTAGTCTTGACCTAAGGTACATACAATAGAAAAAAAATGCAAACACAATATAATTCATTTCATTCTCTCGTTTGGATTTCTGTTCGTTTTTCTCTGCTTGCTCCCCATTTTCATTGTTACAAGAAGAGAAATCCGGTGAGCATTTTTCCACTTTAATCAAACTTATGGAACACGTCATTGTTGATGTTCGTGTTATGCAACTTAATTCTTTTTTTCATGGACCATATCTCTCTCTCTCTCTCTCTCTCCATTTCTCTGTTGCTGCTGCTGCTGCTGCTCTCCGATAATGAGAAATGAGAGAAAATATTGATTGTACAAAGGAATGAATGATGATGACCTGATAAAAGAGACAAGAAATTGATTCAACTTTTATCGCAATTTCAATTTGAATATTAAGTGCCGTAATTCGATAAATGGATTGCAAAATATTTGTTAAACTTAGACCAAACACTTGATGGCTCGTTCCCATTAAATCCCGGAGACTTGTGCGTTACCATTCTTACACGCTCCGTCCATGTAAAGAGCTTAACTTTTAATTAAGAAACTGTTTTGTTCTGAGATAAAAATGCGTTGCCCTTATTTTTCTACGGTTTCGCCTTGAGCTAAATATTTTACGCCGATAATAGAAATATCGCAAACACACTGGCATATTTTGATTGGTTTGTCGATTAGGTGAAACAACGCAATGGCGCCACACTTTTCGATCTATATGTTTTACAGAGTCGTATACTTGATTTGAAAGCCATAATCTTTTCCGACTTTTTCTCCGCGTCATTACATACCGAGAGAATTCAAAAAAGCATGATAAGAAAGCACAGAATTCGATATTATCAAATTCTTTTCACATGCACAACAGATCTCGATTCTTCTATCGAAATATTTCAAAAAGCCAATTTTCCATTATTTCGATGTTCGATGTTTGTTATTTTGAGTTTTTTTCTAGCTTCAAAGCCGTTCAGTCAGGAATGCATATCAACTTGGCGTTTTTGCTTTTCAAGCTCTTTGTAAGCGTTTGGAAAATTCCACCACCAAATAAATAGCCAATAGAGTGCACACTTGTCTTGCTTTAGTGAATTTTCCCGACTAACAATGTTTGAGCCAAGTAATCTGTCAACGACCAAACTCAATGTGCCAAAGCATTATTCCGAATAGAGAAAAAACAATCCGGGTAGTAAAACCAAAGCAAATGTTGTTGCGAATGGAAAAAAAAAATTTATAAGCCAATAAAGTATGTGGCAATAAATGTTGACGAAAGTTCATAACAGATCGAGACCATAAAAAAACAGCGGAAAATATTGTATTTTACAACTGAGTTTTTGTTTTATTTTTATTTTTTTTGTCATCTCTTTTTGTGTCATTGCTTCGTATAGAATTTATCGTCGAAAGTATTTAGGTGTAATGGTAGCTACAACGTGGTTGGGAGCATTTTGTTCATTGATTCCAACATGGCAAGGAAAATGGGGCCGATTCGGTTTGGATCGTCCAATCGGTTCATGCTCAATTTTACCCGATAAAGACAGTGAGTATTCCATTCCAGTCCAAATGATGCCGAATATTTGACTAAATATTTGTTTTCTCTCTCTTTCTCGTGCTTCAAAATGTGTTCTCTTTCGCTTCAATTTTTGCCCAATTTGATTGTGTCACATGCACGACAACCTAAACTAAATATACGAACAATGGTGACTATGATGACGATGATAATGATGACGACAACGATTTTGATGATGATGAAACGGAATGATGTGGCATTCAATTTTCCAGACACTTCACCAAAAGAATTTCTATTCATAATGGCATTCGTGGTGCCATGTATATCGATTGTCGTTTGTTATGCACGCATATTCTATATTGTGCGAAAAACGGCGTTGCGCTCACATCACAGCGATACCGGAAGTGCGTTGGGCAATTCGATGCATCAGTCATCAGGACGGGCACAAAACAATAATCAATGTAAAAAATTGTATGCGACGAACAATAACAAGAATGTGAGTGATGGTACGGACGTTCAATTGTTGCCAAAATCAGATGATATGAGTGGTGATAGTGGTGGTGGTGTCGGTCGTATTGAACGCGTCAGTGAATCAACTGTGAACAACGAACGAAATGAGAAAAAGCATTTTAGCGGAAAGAATTTACTGGATAGTGACAATTCATCGGCATTGTTGTCACACAGTCAGAGCCATGGTGATATAAAAAGCGCTATGAAATTCATCGATTCAACCATTGATGGTGAGACCTTGTCGGCTTTGCGAAAGAGTCAAGGGAATGACGAGCATAATTTAACGGCCAACGATCGAAATCTGAGTAATGTCAGCATTAGTCGCACGGTGGAATTCATTGAAGCGAATGGCGAACGCCATAATTCCTGTGATCGAGACTACATTGTGAAATTGGCACAAGAGAATGGTGATTCGGCCATCGAAGAAAGCATCAGCTCAACGGAGAACAATCAAGTAGGGCTTTGCATTTGAATTGAATTTGGCGAGCGATAAAAATCTAAATGAATTTCAATTTCAGGTTTATCACATCAAAAGCAACAACAATTGCCTGCAAATTCTTTCTGTTCAGGTGGAACCATCCTCTAGTTCGGGCATCGATCTACACATGGACAATGACAGCCCGCCAAGGTAAGTCATTCCACCAACGGATTTATGGCTTTGTTTATTTCAAATTATTTGTTTTCTCCTTGACAGGCGCATGAAACGCTCATACACCAGCTCGATTCGTAGATCAAAGCGAGGTCAACGAAGTGAGAAATGTAATCTGTCCGGTAGCAGCTGCACCATTGGCAGCGTAACATCACGTAAGGCATCAGGCACAACCAACACATCGGGCGCTTCAATTTTATATCCCGGCCGAATGACAACCAAAGATCGACGCTTACTCAAAATGATATTGGTGATTTTTGTGTCATTTGTAACGTGCTATTTACCTATAACATCGACCAAAATCATTCGAACCTTGCACAATATACCCGTGTTCCATATCATGGGATACATTTTAATTTATTTAACAACCTGTATCAATCCAATCATCTATGTGGTTATGTCATCCGAGTATCGCCAAGCCTATTGGAATTTGCTCATGTGCAGAATGAACAAGCGAACCAAACGCTCGAAGAACTACCACAGCAATCGCAACCACTTTCAAAAGAACAGCCAAATTAAAGTAACACCAAATAAGACGTGATTGCTCTGAATCCAAGCACACACACATACACACACGTCTGACACATAATCACATCTAATAATAATTAATTACTAATTAAGTTATAATTGTTTATTGTAAGAGACTTGATTTTAGCCATAAACTATGATTTAAGCAGATTTTTTATTATTATTTTTTTTTTAGAATGATGAAAAGAGGGAAAAAAGAAAAGAAAAACCAAACGCTTTTTTTTGGAAGTTTACTCATTTTATACTCATTTTTGTTGGACAAAATTTTGTTACATTTTTGGAAAGAAAGAAGAAAAAAGAACAAACAAGTTGACATTCGGAGCATAATAATTTATTTTTCAAACATTCAACCGTAAATTGTAATTGTTAATTTAAGAGACTCAATGTTCAATATTTTTATGTTACAACTCAAGGATGTCGGCTCAGCGCATCTGCTGAACCGAATGAATGATTTCAGAAATGAATGAAATAAAAAAACCAAAGAAAAAATTCCAAATAAATGATTGTGAAATTAATAAATGTAATACTTTTCGGCAACCAAATCGATTGAGTGTTGTTTTCATTTGCTGAAAGAGAAAAATCAATTTGATTCGAATGGATCAGCGCCATCTAACGGTTTGTAGAGAAATGTGTTGAATGGAATGAAGTTGGTTTGTCGGCATTTTGAAGCATTTGTAAACAACAAAAGCCGACACCATTGCCACAGCTGTCCTTCTCAGGCATACGCACTCTATGCTATGTCTCTTCAATTCAGACATTAGCACACACACACACACATACATATTTTTACTGCAGACGATACGAAATGTGCAGTCGATCATGATTGAAAAAGACTAAGTTGGTGGTGGCCAAAAGCTAGCGTACCAGCTGAATTAAAATGTACTCTTCTCTCTTTCTCGACCATTCAGTTTGATGTGCTAGCCGCACACTCACGTACGCTGCTGCAATGGAGCCCAACCATTGAATCGTTTTGTGTATGAACTGAGATTGTTATTGTTGTCTGCTAGTTGTAACTCGCATCATGAGCTAGTAAGAGGTACACTGGGACCGATATATAAACCAAAGCGCATTTCACATCACACTGTCATTCGTTTGTGGTAGTTGCTCGAGTACGATTATTGCTGTCGCGTCACATTCGGCGTCGTGTGTGTGTTTTTTTCTTCTTTATCTATTCTCGTTTTTCTCTCTTTCTTTTTTGTCTATTTGTATTGTACTTCTTTCGTTGTTCATGTGTGCACAAAGTCGCATCGCAATCTCATTCTCTCCTGTTCACAAAACACCTCACAACTTAATACCGTCAATACGTATAATTAATTAATAATAATAAAAATAGGTACACATTTTTCATGTAATTTACTTTGTGCATCGTTCGTTCGCTGGAGATACGTGCTTATTGGAGCTGGTTTGTCGACGGTTTTCTGCTCAACCGATCGTAAAATTGAAAACAAAGTGAAACAACGTTGTAATATTTGGTTTTTATGAATTCAACGATTGTTGAATCGCAGATAAAAACACGGAAAGTGGTTTGAAGAAGAAGAAAACGAAGAGAGAGAGAATAAAACGCGTCAAACTAGATGTGATGTATCGGTCTATGGTGAAGTTCAAGTGTTAAACTCTCTGTTAAATCGTCTGTAGCAAAATATTTTGTGTTAATTGTGCGAAACCTTCCATAATCGTCAATTAGAATTAGTTTTCATTTGTGTGTAAGTGTTTGAAATATTCGCATCGGATTATTCACCTAGAATTGACATTAACAGTCAGCATTCAGTGTCGTCACGTTCTACGGGATTTGCCAAATTTGAATCTAGTTTTGTCGCTGCTAAAATTCATGCAAAAGATATTGCCAAAGCAAATAGATAAAAAGAATTACGCATCGGCTCGGGAGGTGTGTAAACACTAATAAATTCGGTTTAAACAAACACCTCGGGCTCTACTACTTCATGTTCTTCTCTTTTTTTTATCTTTGTTTGTACGTAAATACAGTGCTTCGAACATTAATCAAAATGAAACAACCAAACATGAGTATGGTATCGGAGCAGTTCTTTGTTTGTTGCGAACACGTAGTTGTTGTTTTATGAACGTACTCTACACTCTCTCTCTCGCTCTCTTTCTCTGTGTCCCTGTTTTCTACCGTCGCTTTCATTTATTTCTGCATTTTTATTAGCGAGAATGTGCATATTGTGCGAATTGTGAATTGAAAGCAGGCACACGACGCTTCTCGTACTACGTGATACGAGCGATGGTGAATATGTGTTGTGTCATTTAAATATGAGGGTGTCTGGTGTCTGCATTTTATGCGAAAGCAATTGTTCGCAATTTTATATTCGTGTATCCTGTTTGAGTCGCCGTCGCCAAACGAATCGCGAAAAATTCGGTGTTGAATTAAAAAATTTGTACCTCTATTGGAATTGGAAACGGCAACATTACCGACTGATTGCCAATTCATAGAATGGTCAATACATTTCGTCATTCATTGAGAATGAGAATGTTCCGGTAAATATTTGCTCAAAATTTGAATGAAGCGCACATATACAGTGACCACGGTCAGTCGTCGATGAATCACAAAATGTCAATAGTGTCGTTGAAAGTGGAAATTTACCCGAAAAAAAAGACGTTGAATCATTTGTAAAAATGATTTTGGATTCAATGGAGAAAAAAGGAAGTTATATTCCGGTCGCTGTACTTGAGCACAAGGGCCATCGAAAAAACCATTTGAAAAATGATGTTTCGTCGGCAGTCTTTCGTTTCAATTCACGTACATGCAGCATACAAGCACGTTTGTATTGTCATAGCTCTATGTGTATATATACGGAAAAAGGGTCTTTGGCTTTGTCTACCGTATTAACCACTACACTCGCATCCGATTTGCAGACACATCGAGTGAGAGAGGGTGCAGATTCGAATATTTCTTTTACATGTCGCTCACTGCTGCTACCGATTTCGTTGTTGTTGTTGTTGTTGGTATTTCTAGTGAAATTCGCTATGGTTATTTTACCCGTTGAAAGTGCAACCCAACTCTCTCATATGCTTGATGCCATTGCGGTAGCGAGAACATTTCCTCATTTCTCATTTCCACGTTCCATTGTTAATGTTGTTGCTTCTGCAAATGGTGTTGGTGTTCGTTAACGGCATTAGACAATTTATTGATTATGAGAAGTTGCGTCGCTCCGATGCCAAGTGTGGCTGTTGTTTTTGTTTTTACTGAAATGCAAAAACGAACCGAGAAAAAAAGAGAGAAAAAATCGCTCGACAACATGTTTTATGGATTTTATAATGTGATATCCATTTTCAATGTGCCGTGTGCACTTTTACGCGTAAGCACATTCATTCACATTCTCACGTCAAGAGGCTCATTTTCACACACTTGGCTGCAAAAAAAATTACTTAGCATTAATCTTATGTTATGTGTTAAGATTTCAGTTTGCATATACCTCATTTTTCCGCTTTCCGACTTGATGCTTGTTTATTTGTTCTGTCAATATCGCAAACCAAAACTCTAATCAATTCTGTTCGCAAAACCACTTCAGTTTTTCCGTTCAAATTCTTTTCATCGATTTCATTCAAGTGAATTTTTCAGCATGACGAAAGCAAAGAAATCATAAAAATTTTGAGCTTGAATTTAAGTATCCGGAGTCATCAAGTTAAAAATACCGTTGCTCTCTCGCTCCTTCTGCATTGCGAAGGCACATAAGCACATCAAAACTCAGTGGATTCTCAAGCGATGAAAAAGTTAAATTTAGCAATGTGCGCGTTCGATGCTTGGCGAATAATTCTGACATGATATGAATAACGATAAATATCGGCGAACGGTTTTCATCGCAAGAAGCGAATTAGCGGACGCACTCGCGCATCCGTTATCAATGGCCATAAGACAAGAACATACACTTCAAGTTTGATCAAGAGAGAAATAAAAAAAACAATTCGCTAAAATTCGCCAAGCTATTTGCCTCTTTTTCCATTTCGCAAGCGCGCATCGCAATCAAATTGAATAGAAATGACAAAAATAGCACCGGTTTATAATTAGACATCGGCCACAGCGGCGTTCGTGTCATCGAAATCTCTGTGTTTCCCTCTCTATCTCTCTCTCTCTCTCTCTCTCTCTCTCTCTCTCTCTCTCTCTCTCTCGCTATCGTTCAGCATATCTCTGATTGCTGAATCGTGGCTTGAGATTCCGTACAATGAAAATTCGTTATTCTTAGAGGCAATATAATCCTGTAGCTATTCTTTCTCTTGGTCAAATGATTGCCGCATCATTTCATCTATTCTTCATCTAAATATAAAAGACTTTGTACACTTTGTATTCAGGTTTGATAAATTATTAGAATAATTTCATGTTGTTTTTCAAGAGCTCGAAAATTATAATTTTTCATTGTCTGCAATAAAATCAAGATTACATCAAGAAATAGCATAGCACCGCAATCAAAAGTGGTCGTCGGATGCGTCGTTGAACTGTACGTCGTTTGACTTTGAGACAAGAGCGCCAAGAAATGGTGTATATGTGCTGCTTTTTTTTCTCATTTCGTGTAGCCCACATACTCTCTTTCTATCTCTCGATGTTGAATTCGATGTGCTGTAATAATTTCGCGCAGCGGTCAACAAATCTCGCATTTCGTATATATTTTGTTGAAGCATAAACTGTATATTGGTTGTTGCTTATGACTTATTTTCAATCACTAAAAATAGACGGTGGGCTTTCGATATTTCTTTGTTTTTTTTTTCTTCGCCCGTCTTCTTCAAGCAAGTATTTTTCACTTGAGCACAACACGTAATCTGTAATGAGTCAGAAATCGTGGATCGTTTAAAGCAAATCATTTCGTATTGCATGTCACAAGTATCATAGCGGGCGCTGAAAGCAAGTGCTAAATGCATGAACATGGACACCACATACGACAAGCGATGAACAAATTGTTTATGTTTTTGTCTTTCATTGTTGCCAATCGTTATTTCCATGTGCAATTCATTTTGCGCATACACACGAGCTGAATGCCAATTCGGTCTACCGCAAATTTTAATGCATTCTATTGATCGATCGTTCTCATAATATCATACAATTTATCAATCAATCGTTTCATTTGTTTCGAAACGTTGACGCGCATTTCAAGTAATGAACGAAATCCATTGAATTTGCATGATACCGAGACATAATGCTCGTTATGATGCACCAATCATCCAGCCACAATAGCAGCAGCAGCAAATATGGAGACGAACGTGCAAATGCAATTTTTGTCTCGATGAGTGAGTGAGTGAGTGCATGTCATTCAAGTATACATCACGAACACGAGATGCGTGCGCAGCAAACAACCATTAACGAGAAATATTGCAACCAAGAAAATAATACAGAATTTTCTTTTCTCTCAATTAAAATGCGACCGATATGCACGAAAAATGCAAACACTCAAGATCCCATTCTCATTGCTCTCTGTTGTTGTTGCTGCTGCTGCTGCTGCTGCTGCTGCTTCGACTTGTAATTGTCGATCACATCTCGGCACGATCGGTACACACGCGCTCAATTTCCTCTTTTCGCATAATAAAATGTACTAATGGCATTAAATGCGAAGACAGCAACTGACTGAGCGCGCGAGAACGATACGAGAGGGAGCACAGAGGCAGCAGCAGCAGAAGCCAGGCGAATTTTATGTTCATTTGAATTGAATAAACATGTCGTCGATGATTGCGTTCGATGTGCGGTTTATCTTTCTCGGTTCGTTCGTCTTCTTTCATGCTTTTTGTTGTGTTTGGTTTTGTTTTTTTTCGGTGTGTGAGAGGCAGTGTGTACGAGGCAAGAACCCAGGTCGCTTTAAATTCTATCTTTTGTATTTCATACAGCATCGGCTGACATAAATGAGTGTACCGTATGATGTGTGTGCAATGTGTACGCTAACGAACGTAAGCGAGTAAGCGAGTGAACGCGCGCGCGTTTCGTGTGTATGAGTTTTTTTCAGTTCGAATCGTCGTTTGCCTCTTTCTCTGTGAACCGTCTCTCGCATACGATCGCTAAGAAATTGATTTGGTACGAACAGGTTCTTTAGTTTTGAGTTGGCTTCCAACGCGAGCGGTCTCCGTAACGTTGTTGATTAAAGTAGGTGCGATATTTTCTCTTCCTTCATTTGTTCATCCGACGAAGTTGTCTCTTTCTCCTTTCGACTCATCTCACCGAAGTTCTTATCTATATCCGATTGAAGCACACAATCGATACCAATTAAAATACATTGCATTTTTTTCATGTTGTGTTTGAAACAAAATAAAAAATACCATTCTCTACGTATTCGTTGAATTAAAGTGATTTTTTTTAAAAGAGAAAAAAAAACGGTTTAAATCAAAACGGTTCTTTGTTTTTTATTTTTTCTTTTGTCTATTGCGCGCGAATGACAAATATTTATTCGATTAAAATTGTATGAGTTTGGTCCATTGCGGGGCCAGAGAAAAAAAAGAAACGACTTAAACAGAAAAGAGAACCGCGTTTCCCAGTTAGTGTCTTGACTCACACGAAACAGTTCACAAATGAATTTCACCGAAAGGCAATTAAACCAGAAGCGATCAGTGTGTATTTGATCGAGTACACCAATGCGAACTAACGCACATACACCAAATAAATGAAACCGAAATATTTTTAGAAACATTCGCATCGGCCCGATGAAATAAAAGAAAAAAGAAGCGAAAAATAACAAAACACACACCCATAGCATAGCAAAATCAACGCGAAAAGAAAATAAGAAAAAAAAACGAATCAAACAAAAAGAACAGTTTGAAAAAGAGTGTGTGTGATGTAATATGAAGATCGTTACGCAAGTTTAAATTTAAAATCGACCACAAAAAAAGATTTTTCAATTTTTTTTTTGTTCAAGTTTCCGTATTTTCGCTGGTGCTAATCGCATTTAGAATAAATATTGAACTCTTTTTATTTTCTTCGCGTAAAAAGGCGGTTCTCTTGTGCGATATACTGTGCTCGACGGTGTCAATTTTAGTTTCGATAAAAAAAAAAAGAATTCTCCCGATTTTCCTTGAGTCCTACGCATTTCTCTTTTCTGCAGCCGAAAATTGGAATTTGAAATACAAAATATTTCGCATGCAAATATTTTGCATTTCAAATTGCTGAATTTTCCGCCCAAATCCATTCAGTAATCGAATTTAATTTGTGAATTAATTTATGAAGGTGTCAGATATCTTAGGACCTCAAACGAACGAACTGGTTTTTTTTTTGTATTCGAAAATCCACAAAAACCCGTATTTGAAACAATTTGAAACCGAAAATCGATAATAAGAACACACAAACAAGTCAAAATGTTGGACCAAAACGGATATGCTGTGGATTACGGTGATGCTTATATGGAGCAAGAGGAAGAATGGGAGCGCGAAGGTCTTTTAGATCCAGCCTGGGAGAAACAACAGAAAAAGGTAAATTCCATGTTTGTTGTTTATTTTAGTGCATTTTTTTTTCTCGGATGTAAGTGTAAATTAAGTGCTATGAACCAAAAGTGAACAATGAAGACAATTTTTTTCTGTTCGATGGAACTGTATGTGTGTGTGTGACACGTGTGGATTTTCCGGTTTTGGATTACGTTGTGAAAATGCCATTTCCCTGAGAAAAAGACGAACTGAACAGTTTTGTGGAAGCAATTTTTGTGGTGCAAAAGTGATTTTCTGTAATCGAAACCAACATTTTATCCGTTTATATAAGCGATGAATCCGACGACGATTCAAAGCGAAAAAAAAAGAGAATAACGAGAAAAAAAATGATGATGATGAAAAACATATTAGAAAGAAATATACGTGAAAAATTCAAAATTAATCGCATCCCACCCATTATATTTTGAATCATGAGATTTTCTTCTCGCGGTGGCTATATATATATAAAAAGATGATTGGCTGCTCTCCTCGTTCCTTGCCGCTTCATACAAAAAAAAATAGACGATTTTCGGTTGATGTGTGAGCTTGCGCTATAACACATCGCAAACACACATTCAATGTGAGAAGTTGAAGAAAAATAAGAAAAGATGTCTAAGCGATCTCGCGGTGGAAAAGCGAAATTCAGACGAAAAAAAAAGAGACTCGTACTCACGGTCTTCGTGTCAGAAGAAAAGCCAACACGCGAAAAAGACTGAACGAGCGGAGAAAAGAAAAAAGTGTGAAAAGTTGAACAATAAACAGCGAATTTATGTATAAAAAGCATAAAATGATTCAGTTGCTTTGGTTCCGTTTTAAAATAGATGTGTTGTATTATACCGTCAATGCTTGGCAATGGTGCTGTTCTTTTTTTCTCTTTGGTTCGCTTGAAAAATCGAATCATCGCTATTTGTCGTACTGATTTATCGTACAAATTCAAATGGCTTGACCATGAGCCATTGAAACTGAGAAGCCTGTAAGCCAATCCTCTCATAGTGCATAATTCATTCGTCTTTCTACCTCTTTTTGTTGTTCGCCTATGAATTGCATTCAACTCGTGCACTCGAAGGAATAAGCAAATGAAAACAGCGCAACACGACGAGATGAGCATAAAATCGAATTGTAGCGTGTAGGAAAAAAAGCAGAACAGCCTAAGAGGGAGTGAGAGAGAGAGAGAGAGAGAGAGAGAGAGAAAGAGAGAAGAAGCGATTTCTATAATTGCGAGCGAGTGATCTATGCCTAAGCCCAGAATTTCTTTTTCTTTTTCTCAGAAACCACATTGAGTGGAAAGAAATTGAGCGCAGCGCGCATAATTTAACGACGTGAATTTTACGAATAGCTATATAATGCCCTTGCTTTTATATTAATTTTCGATCTTTTTTGCGATTGTTGTTTCGTTTTTTTCTCCCTCTCCATCTCTCTTCCTCTCCCGAAACTGCAGTCAATGTGCAATATTTTTACAAATGCACTCACGCACGCACTGACAGCACTACTTGATCTGTTTTGGTTCGCACCATTGAATGTAAACAATAACAAAAATGCGAACAGTAGCACATTCTTTTTCAAAGGAAAATCCACTTGACGTGTATTCAATTGATTCGATTCTCTGACGTTCAAGTTAACATTGAACTCAAAAGTGGGAAAAACCACAGCAAATGAAAGCATCCACGTGATTCTATCGATCTTATGCAATGGCAGTTTTCTTTACTCGATCATACGTTCAATACTCACTCCAAACACAAATAATGGGACTAACATCGATGAAAGAAAAAAACATCAAAACAAACAATAAGAGCCATGAGCATCTTCATGATTCAAGAGCAAGAAAAAACGGCTGTCACCGATTCGACAAAAAAAATAAGACAAATGGAAGACAAATATTTGAAGTGAGTTCATACACAATCGCATGTCAAAAGTGATACAAATTCCAGCGCCGCACATTTGTACTTTCGGAACCAGAAGAACACGAATGTAAGAGACACTGGGAAACTTTGAATAACGACAAATGCTAAACAAGTTATTAAGAAGCAGTCGGCGCAAGCGAATGAGACCACAGAGAGGAAAAAAAATGGTAATCATCAACGGTTTTGCCAACGAAAATACAAAAACTAAACGCACACATCACATGTGTAGCATGGCAAAAGTATGAATAATAATAGAAGAAATGAAGAAAGATAGAAAGAGCCAAGTGAAGCGCGCGCAAAAAAAATAACCAAATGAATTGCACAAAACAGCACGTCTACAGCTGAAGGTTGGTTAGAACTGATTTTGTTTAGTTAATTTTCGTACAATCTACAATCAAATTGTTCGCGAGAATCGGTCCAGTTTGTGCTGGATTCGGCGCAATACTAGTTGAATAAACGGCAGCCGGTCAATGGAAGAAAAAGTATTCTCTTCAAAAATTAAATTTCATCGCTCAGTTATACGATTACCGACTCATGCAATTCGATAGTCAAAATATTGTGCACAATAATCATGCTTAAGACGAGGTTTCATTCCTCTCTCTGTGTGTCTGTCTTCATCTCGTCCGTTCGATGATTCTTTCATTTTGGTGTATTCGATGGAGTTTGATCTCTTTTTGGGCGATCTCAATTCTTTTGTACGTGTCTCCAACATTGAAACGTGAATCAAATTGAATTGCTACGGTTCTTTGGAGCATTGCTTTGTTCGATCTCCGCGCATATCTGTTTTTTCTCTCATTCCCCTCTTTTCTCTGTTCATCGACTTGCCAGCGGAATCGATAAACGAATTGTCAAAAGTCACTTTTCAAGATCCAAGTGAAAAGACTTTATTTCACCGTGACTCGAAGCAAAAGATCAACATATAAATGGAAAACAAGAATTATCTTCGTGGCTTTTGGAAAGCGACGCACCTCAAACAAACATTTTTTTTTTCAATTCGTGATGATAAAGCATTGTGATATCGTTTCCGAAGGCGGTTTTAATGTTATTCCAATGGTTCTTCTTTTTTCATTTCAAACTCAAATGGAATTTAATAGACAGATCCTCTTTCACAAATATAACGTCCAACATTACATATGGGATTAAAGTCTTGGGCATTTCGCCCATAGAAAATCGCATTCAATTTGATGCAAGAAATGAAAAAAAAATTGAATTGAAAAGAATGGATTATCATTTATTATATCAAACTGGAACTAATTTCAATTCCACGATCTCGGGTTTTTTTTTGATTTATCATGTTCTTAGCTCGATTTTGACGTATCTTCATCATCTCAGTGGTATAGATAACGTATGCCATGACTATTGAAACGATAACGCGAGAAATAAAAATAATCAACAAGTTCATACGGAGATGAGAACAGAACGGAACCGTCGAAAGGAAAATGTTAAAGCAAAGAGAACGAAAACTGTATCCAACATATGACCGAGAAGTAAACTCTGTGTGCATCGTGTTTTGACTCAACGTTCGATACTCTTGAGACTAAATGAGCACGCGCATCGTTGCCGCTGTTGCTGTTGCTCTTTTGTTCAAAAAGAAATGGTAAAAGGCTAATAACCTGAACGAAATTCAAATTATCGACCAGAAAAGAGGTAACACATTTCGATCGCTTTTTATTCGTTGAATGTCTCACCTTGCGATTTCTAATTGATTTTTGAACCAAATCATCACACCAACAGAAAAAGAATACAGATTTACATGCGAATCGAATTTTATCAAAAGCTGATAAAACCGATGCCTAGAATCGATATCAACGAACCCATTAAAAGCAAATACGAACACTAGCAGATCAACGGCTGTGGATCTGAATGTTGGTTTTGATGAATCAAGCTACTGATTCATCGCAAAAGCAAAGCCACAAAGAAAATTTCACCACTTGGTTCAACAAACGCAGCAGCTGCGTTCGCTTAATTACAATACTGAATTGGCCAAAACAGCCCATCGACAAGATAAATAAAGAACCGACCAACACACAATACACACATGCAAGACAAAAGGCGGCAGTTTGAATATATATCCAGACAAACTGCGAACGCAACGATGATGAACTTCATATGCCGAAGCAATTTCAACCATTTTTTAAAAAAATTGCTCAAGTTTTTCCACAACACAACGCAAAATATAGTTATTCTGTGCACATAAAATAGTCAACGGTAATTAACATAACATGTAAAAAAAAATGCCGCACGAAATTATGCACGAAAACATACACTTTCTATTGAAATGCTTGAAAAAAAAAAGAAGAAGAGAGAACAAACACAAAAACAAAGCGCGAGTGCGATGGATTTGCTGTTTGTGCTTTCTGTGTTTTTATTATTATTCGAAATGACACAGTTTCACACATGTATCACTCACACCGTTGGGCTGACGAATTTAATGGCGATCCGAACAATTGACGCAACAAACAAAACAGCACACCAAATGAGAGACACATTCAGCGTTTTGTGCACATACTGAATGTCAGCGTACGCACACTTTGTGTTTGCTTTAGAAAATTAGGTGAAACTGATCGCTGTGTGTCGATCGATTAGAATGTGTGATTAGAATGTGTTTTACGATACGAATCCGAAACCGAAAATATATTTTCGACACCATTTTCGCAATCGATTGAGAGAAGAAAAAAAAAATGTTTCATTCAACTGTTGAATGCGATTTTATTGAATTGAAACTTCAACACCAATTAAAAAGCTAATCCACTATGTTTCGTTGGCTTTTCCATTCGCCAGCAATCGTCAAAGCGATTTTGTTACGATTTTGATGGAAACAAACCAAAGCATTTGAATTCAACTTTGGTTTTTCCCAACAATTGTTCCTTCGCTTACAAGTACTTCGTTTCAATGCAATCCGTTGTGCACTTTACTTGCTGCAGTAATAATCGCAGCACATGCAAATTCGTTGACTTTTTTTCTTTAATCCGTTGTGTTTTCGCATTGATCGTGCTTGATTCACGGCGGTATCATGACGACACACACACATACACATAGCAACGTGTGTCGAGCTGTTAGTTTATTTCGAAATTCAATACGCTTAATTGAATGGATTGTATTTTGTTG